CAGCCCATGGCCACCTTTCCCCCCCCCTCAAAGTCCCCCTAGATCCTTCTCCTTGGGGCTGCCCCCCATCCCTCCATCCCCACCCTGGGCTGGGATTGGGGGCTGCCCCCACCCAGGGGGAGGACCCTGCCCTTGGTTTGGTTGAGGGTCACCTGGGGCCCCCTCTCCAGGTCCATCTGGATGTCACCCCGTCCCCCCAGCACGTTGACCCCCCCCCATGGTCCATCTCTTGCCCCCACCACCACCTTGGGATGACCCTCTGGGGTGGCCACAGAGCCCCGGGGTGGAAAAACTGGTGGCAGGACGTGCTGGAGGTGGGATGAGGCAGATGGAGCCACCTTGGGGACAAGCCCCCCACCCCGGGGTTGCAAAACCTCCCCAACACCCCCCACCCCGTGGGGCAGCGCCCAGCCCCAGTTCTGTAACATCCCCCCCCTTCAAGATGTGGGTCTGATGCTACCGTCTGGGAGAGGGTTTTGGGGCCCAAAGGGGATTAAAACCCAATTTCCTCTATTTTCCACTCGGAAACGTGGGGCCAGGAGGATCTGTGGGGCGCTGTGGGGTGCTGTGGGGCGCCGTGGGGTGCTGTGGGGACAGGCCCACCTCGCTCTGTGTGGCTAGAGCTTGGCTTTGACCCACAGATTGGGCAAAAGCTTTGTGTGGGTCCAGTGCTACTGGTGAGAAGGTTTTGGGGCACAAAGGGGGATTAAAAACCCAATTTCCTCTGATTTCTCCTTGCAAACTTGGGCCCAGGAGGATCTGTGGGGCACTGTGGGGACAGGACCACCTCGCTCTGAGCGGCTGGGGCTTGGCCTTGACCCACAGATTTGGAAATACTTTCTGTGGGTCTGGTGCCACCGGCTGTGAGAAGGTTTTTGGGGCACAAAGGGGGATTAAAAACCCAATTTCCTCTGATTTCTCCTTGCAAACTTGGGCCCAGGAGGATCTGTGGGGCACTGTGGGGACAGGACCACCTCGCTCTGAGCGGCTGGGGCTTGGCCTTGACCCACAGATTTGGAAATACTTTCTGTGGGTCTGGTGCCACCGGCTGTGAGAAGGTTTTTGGGGCACAAAGGGGGATTAAAAACCCAATTTCCTCTGATTTCTCCTTGCAAACTTGGGCCCAGGAGGATCTGTGGGGCACTGTGGGGACAGGACCACCTCGCTCTGAGCGGCTGGGGCTTGGCCTTGACCCACAGATTTGGAAATACTTTCTGTGGGTCTGGTGCCACCGGCTGTGAGAAGGTTTTTGGGGCACAAAGGGGGATTAAAAACCCAATTTCCTCTGATTTCTCCTTGCAAACTTGGGCCCAGGAGGATCTGTGGGGCACTGTGGGGACAGGACCACCTCGCTCTGAGCGGCTGGGGCTTGGCCTTGACCCACAGATTTGGAAATACTTTCTGTGGGTCTGGTGCCACCGGCTGTGAGAAGGTTTTTGGGGCACAAAGGGGGATTAAAACCCAATTTCCTCTATTTTCCACTCGGAAACGTGGGCCCAGGAGGATCTGTGGGGCGCTGTGGGGTGCTGTGGGGACAGGACCACCTCGTTCTGTGCGGCTGGGGCTTGGCCTTGACCCACAGATTTGGAAATACTTTCTGTGGGTCCAGTGCGACTGGCTGTGAGAAGGTTTTGGGGCACAAAGGGGGATTAAAAACCCAATTTCCTCTGATTTCTCCTTGCAAACTTGGGCCCAGGAGGATCTGTGGGGCACTGTGGGGACAGGACCACCTCGCTCTGAGCGGCTGGGGCTTGGCCTTGACCCACAGATTTGGAAATACTTTCTGTGGGTCTGGTGCCACCGGCTGTGAGAAGGTTTTTGGGGCACAAAGGGGGATTAAAACCCAATTTCCTCTATTTTCCACTCGGAAACATGGGGCCAGGAGGATCTGTGGGGCACCATGGGGCACTGTGGGGACAGGACCACCTCATCTGGTGTGGCTGGGGCTTGGCCTTGACCCACAGATTTGGAAATACTTTCTGTGGGTCCGGTCCTACCAGCTGTGAGAAGGTTTTGGGGCACAAAAGGGGATTAAAAACCCAATTTCCTCTGTTTTTCCCTGGGGAATGTGGGCCCAGGAGGATCTGTGGGGCGCTGTGGGGTGCTGTGGGGACAGGACCACCTCGTTCTGTGCGGCTGGGGCTTGGCCTTGACCCACAGATTTGGAAATACTTTCTGTGGGTCCGGTCCTACCAGCTGTGAGAAGGTTTTGGGGCACAAAAGGGGATTAAAAACCCAATTTCCTCTGTTTTTCCCTGGGGAATGTGGGCCCAGGAGGATCTGTGGGGCACCATGGGGCACTGTGGGGACAGGACCACCTCATCTGGTGTGGCTGGGGCTTGGCCTTGACCCACAGATTTGGAAATACTTTCTGTGGGTCCGGTCCTACCAGCTGTGAGAAGGTTTTGGGGCACAAAAGGGGATTAAAAACCCAATTTCCTCTGTTTTTCCCTGGGGAATGTGGGCCCAGGAGGATCTGTGGGGCGCTGTGGGGTGCTGTGGGGACAGGACCACCTCGTTCTGTGCGGCTGGGGCTTGGCCTTGACCCACAGATTTGGAAATACTTTCTGTGGGGCTGGTGCTACCAGTTGGGATAGGGTTTTTGGGGCACAAAGGGGGATGGAAACTCAATTTCCTCTGTTTTCCACTCAGAAACATGGGGCCAGGAGGATCTGTGGGGCGCCGTGGGGTGCTGTGGGGACAGGACCACCTCAGTCTTCATGGCTGAGACTTGGCTTTGACCCACAGATTTGGCAAAACCTTTCTGTGGGTCTGATGCTACCGGCTGTGAGAAGGTTTTGGGGCACAAAGGGGGATTAAAAACCCAATTTCCTCTGATTTCCTCTGTTTTCTCCTGGTAAATGTGGGTCCCAGAGGATCTGTGGGGCGCTGTGGGGTGAGGACCACCTCGCTCCGCATGGTTGAGACTTGGCCTTGACCCACAGATTTGGCCAAAGTTTTCTGTGGGTCCAGAGCTACTGGTTGTGAGAAGGTTTTGGGGCACAAAGGGGGATTGAAACCCAATTTCCTCTATTTTCCACTCGGAAATGTGGGCCCAGGAGGATCTGTGGGGCGCTGTGGGGTGCTGTGGGGACAGGACAACCTCGCTCATGGCTGAGACTTGGCTTTGACCCACAGATTTGGCAAAACCTTTCTGTGGGTCTGATGCTACCGGCTGTGAGAAGGTTTTGGGGCACAAAGGGGGATTAAAAACCCAATTTCCTCTGATTTCCTCTGTTTTCTCCTGGTAAATGTGGGTCCCAGAGGATCTGTGGGGCGCTGTGGGGTGAGGACCACCTCGCTCCGCATGGTTGAGACTTGGCCTTGACCCACAGATTTGGCCAAAGTTTTCTGTGGGTCCAGAGCTACTGGTTGTGAGAAGGTTTTGGGGCACAAAGGGGGATTGAAACCCAATTTCCTCTATTTTCCACTCGGAAATGTGGGCCCAGGAGGATCTGTGGGGCGCTGTGGGGTGCTGTGGGGACAGGACAACCTCGCTCTGTGTGGCTGGGGCTTGGCCTTGACCCACAGATTTGGGAAAACCTTTCTGTGGGGCCAGTCCTACCAGCTGTGAGAAGGTTTTTGGGGCACAAAGGGGATGGAAACTCAATTTCCTCTATTTTCCACTCGGAAATGTGGGCCCAGGAGGATCTGTGGGGCGCTGTGGGGTGCTGTGGGGACAGGACCACCTCGCTCTTCGTGGCTGGGACTTGGCCTTGACCCACAGATTTGGGAAAACCTTTCTGTGGGGCCAGTCCTACCAGCTGTGAGAAGGTTTTTGGGGCACAAAGGGGATGGAAACTCAATTTCCTCTATTTTCCACTCGGAAATGTGGGCCCAGGAGGATCTGTGGGGCGCTGTGGGGTGCTGTGGGGACAGGACCACCTCGCTCTTCGTGGCTGGGACTTGGCCTTGACCCACAGATTTGGGAAAACCTTTCTGTGGGGCCAGTCCTACCAGCTGTGAGAAGGTTTTTGGGGCACAAAGGGGATGGAAACTCAATTTCCTCTATTTTCCACTCGGAAATGTGGGCCCAGGAGGATCTGTGGGGCGCTGTGGGGTGCTGTGGGGACAGGACCACCTCGCTCTTCGTGGCTGGGACTTGGCCTTGACCCACAGATTTGGAAATACTTTCTGTGGGGCTGGTGCTACCAGTTGGGATAGGGTTTTTGGGGCACAAAGGGGGATTAAAAACCCAATTTCCTCTGATTTCCTCTGTTTTCCCCTGGGAAATGTGGGCCCAGGAGGATCTGTGGGGCGCTGTGGGGACAGGACCACCTCGCTCTGCATGGTTGAGCCTTGGCTTTGACCCACAGATTTGGCCAAAGCTTTGTGTGGGTCCGATGCTACTGGCTGTGAGAAGGTTTTTGGGGCACAAAGGGGGATTAAAACCCAATTTCCTCTATTTTCCACTCAGAACTGTGGGGCCAGGAGGATCTGTGGGGCGCTGTGGGGTGCTGTGGGGACAGGACCACCTCGCTCTGCGTGGCTGAGACTTGGCCTTGACCCACAGATTTGGCCAAAGCTTTGTGTGGGTCTGATGCTACTGGCTGTGAGAAGGTTTTTGGGGCACAAAGGGGGATTAAAAACCCATTTTCCTCTGATTTCCTCTGTTTTCCCCTGGTAAATGTGGGGCCAGGAGGATCTGTGGGGCGCTGTGGGGACAGGACCACCTCACTCTGCGTGGCTGAGACTTGGCCTTGACCCACAGATTTGGAAATACTTTCTGTGGGTCCAATTGTGGGCACAAAGGGGGATTAAAAACCCAATTTCCTCTATTTTCCACTCAGAACCGTGGGCCCAGGAGGATCTGTGGGGCGCTGTGGGGTGCTGTGGGGACAGGACCACCTCACTCTGTGTGGTTGAGCCTTGGCTTTGACCCACAGATTTGGCCAAAGAGCCAGAATCTCACCCCGAGGGGGTCCACCTTTCAACCCCTTGGCCATCCCGCTCCCTTTGGAAGCCCAAGTTGCCCAGGAGACCCCATTCCCCCCAAAAACCCGGGGGGAGGAGGCATCTCCCACCTTGTGGAGAGGCTGGAGGCAGAAGAAGACGCCGACTGGTGGAGCCTGGTGGCCTCGGCCGCCGCGTCCATGTCCACGTCGCTGCGGGACCGGGGCACGTTTTCGGCTTTCCGGGATTTTTTCATCTCTTCCCGACCTTTGAGACTCTCGGAGCGGCCCAGCCTCACCTCGGCTCGGGAGCTGGGAGACAAAAAACCAGGTTGAACAGAATCAATCACAGAATCACAGAATCGTGGTGGTTGGAAGGGACCTCAGAGATCATCGAGTCCAACCACAAAAAAAAAAAAAAA